GGCCGCCCTTGGGGTCAGCTGGGGTTTTTACTTGCCCTTGTTTGTCTCTGGGTAGGAGGTAGTTTTCGTCACTGGTAGGGGCGCGGGGTACTGCACAGCTAGTTTTCACCATTAACAGCAGCCAGTTCTGTTCCGCCTGGGTACGTTGTCCTCTTGCGGGGGTTTTTCTTTTGTTTTTGTTTTTGCCTGGTGGGGGGGGGGGTCTGCCTGTTTGGTCCCCATCGCTGTTCTTAGGGTTTGTCTCCAGATTGTCTAATTGGTGGTACTCCCCGCTTGGCCCCCGCGAGTATACACGTCCCGGGGGTTCAGCTATAGCAGTTTGTTGGTAGTTTTGGGTGCCGGTTCGCAGTACCCTGCCTGGGCTTCCCTTAGCGTGATATCAAGGCTAAGGGCCCTGGAAAATCCCACGGGGGCTATGTGGTCCGATGGATGTGACCCCTGAGTCCCCCCTCGCGTCCTGCGAGTTTGAGGGTTGCTCTGTCCCCTTGTCTCAGGGGGACACACAGGTCGGTGATTGTTTTGACCCTGAGTCGTGCGACGTGTGTTGTCTGTACGTTCTCCAGTTCACCCAGGCTACTGCAGGTGAAGGCAGCTGAGGCGTTGCATGCTCGCTTTAGGTTGCTGCAACGCGCTAGGTTGGTCGCTGCCCCGGATGCCCCGAGACTGCCCCGTTTTGGTTATAGGGACCCGGACTTGTTGGTGGGGGTGGCTTCGGCTCTGGTTTCATCCGCCCCTCCAAGTCCTTCCCTTTCTGTTGCTCGTTCGGTTCCCCCCCCCCTCCCTTTGCTGCCGGCTCCTAAAGTTTGAGGGTTTCGGAGCCTGGGCTGGGTTTAGTCGGTTGTGAGACTCGGGCTGTCTCGGGGGTGTCCCCTTCTGGGGCAGTGGCGGAGGCATTCGAGCCTGGTCCTTCTGCCGAAGCTTCTGGGTCTGGCCAGTGGGCCCCCTTTGTTCCTGCTTTGTCGGCTGCTCCCACCTTTTCTTTGGGGGTGGGGGCTCAGGACGGCGGCTCGGCCCCAGGCCTTCTGGATGAGGTTCCTGGGGTTGGCTTGGGGGCCTTGGGCCCCGTTGGACCCCGCCTGGGTATTTTTGCCCTCCAAGCGGGGCTTGGTGTTACAAGGAGAAGAGTTCTCTTTCACTCCCTCCGTGTACAAATTAGATTTGGTGTCCACCCCTCCCAGGGTTCGGTTCCGTGATCCCGAGGGTTCTTCGGTTCCATCTTTCCAGAGGTTTCCTGCTTCCCGTGTTTCGACTTCGGAGGTGCAGGAGGCCTTGGCAGCTTACCTCTTGTGTGACCCGGATTATGCCTTCCTGATGGATCCTCGTTCCTTCGTGTACGGATCCCCAGGTTCGTGCTGGTTTTGTTATGAGGTTCCGGAGTCCTTTACTGCTAGAATCCACTCAGTAAAACATCTAAATTACTGGGACCGACTAAAGAGCCTAAATCTGTACTCCCTTGAGCACAGGCGGAAGAGATACATAATAATTTACACGTGAAAAATAATTGAGGGGCTGGTCCCAAACCTGCACACAGAAATAACATCACATGAGACCAGAAGACATGGCAGGATGTGCAGAATACCCCCGTTGAAAAGCAGAGGTGCAACAGGTGCTCTGAGAGAGAACTCTATCAACATCAGAGGCCCGAGACTGTTCAACACTCTTCCACTACACATAAGGGGCATAACTGGCCGACCCCTCACAGTGTTCAAGAGAGAGAACTGGATAAGCACCTCCAAAGGATACCTGATCATCCAGGCTGTGACTCATACGTCAGGCTGCGAGCAGCCGCGTCTAACAGCCTGGTTGATCAGTACAGCAACCAGGAGGCCTGGTCGACGACCGGGCCGCGGGGACACTAAGCCCCGGAAGCACCTCAAGGTAACCTCAAGGTAAGGTTCTCGCCTCGCGTGTCGTCAGGCGGTGCTGGCTTCCTCCTTAGAGTCCGCCTGGGCCCTGGCTCTTCGTTTGTCCTCGCCCTTTTGTCCGTTGCTGTTTGCGGAATCTGCTGTGGGGCAGTATCTGCAGGCGGCCTCGGTCAGTTGTTGGCCTATGTCGGAGTTGTTGCTGCTCCGGGGGGCTCGTGGGGGGCCTTCCCGGAAGGGTCGTGCCAGGGCTCATGGGTCTTTTCATCGGAGTAGGCCTTTGGTGCCAGATTCTGGGCTGGCGGCGCCTTCAGTTCTGGCTGTTGCTGGATGGAGTGGGCTCCTTCCTGTTCGCCGCCTTGGTTCTCGCAAGGCGCATCGGCCCTTTCGCGGTTCACCCCATTGACGGGGCGATGGGGGGGGCGGCTCGCCCGGTTTGCCCACGCCTGGTCCCACGATTCATGGGCTTTTCGGGTCGTTTCGCGCGGCCTGTGGTGGCGTTGGGTGGCTCTTCCTCCCTTGGGGGGTTCGGGGCTGGCGGGGCAGGCCTCTTCTCCTGCGCTCTGTCGGGTCATCTCGGAGTGGGTTCGCTTGGGCGTAGTCGAAATGACGTCGTCCCTCAGGTGGGTTTCCCACCTGTTTCCGGTTCCGAAACGGGACTGCGATGACCTTCGGTTCATTCTGGACTTGTCCTGTCTGAACCCGTGGGTGTTGTGCCCCTCCTTTCGGATGACTACGCTGTCCCAGGTCCGTCTTCTCTTGGAGAGGGGCACTTGGATGGTGTCCCTGGATCTCAAGGACGCGTATTGGCACGTCCCGGTTCATCCGGAGTTCAGGGACTGGCTCGGTTTTGTTGTGGGGCGTCAAGGTTACCGCTTTCGTTGTCTTCCCGTCGGGTTGAATCTGGCGCCACGCGTTTTCACACGCCTCACTCGAGTCGTGGTGGCCTGCGTGCGTCTGCTAGGTGTTCGGGTTCTGGCCTATCTCGACGACTGGCTGGTTTGGGCTCCCAGCCAGTCCGCATGTCTGCTCGCCAGGGATTTGGTTCTTACCCAGCTCGCCTGGTTCGGGTTCTTGGTGAACTGGAGGAAGTCCCGTCTGGTTCCCTCTCAGGTTCGGTCTTGGCTGGGTCTGGTTTGGGACGCTCGTGCTGCTTCCTTGTCTCTTCCTCCGGCGGCTCTCTTGCTCCTGCGGTCCCGCCTTTGCCTGTTTCTGAGGGGTTCCCGGGTCACAAGGCGGTTGCTCGAGAGTTTGTGCGGGAGCCTGAACTTTGCCATGATGGTCTACCCGCCGGGTCAGGTGTGGCTTCGTCGGCTGTTTTGGTTCCTTCGGGGCCGGCCCTTCCGCCTCTTTCGCAATCGTTGGGTTCGACCTCCGGGGGCTTTGCGTCGGTTGCTGCGTCACCGTCTTCCTCTTCGGGTTTTTCAGGGTTCGTGAAAGAGGGGAAGAGGGAAGAGGGCCTTCCCGTGCCCTCTCTCGATGTGTACACGGACGCATCGTCTCTTGGCTGGGGTTTTGTGACCAGTGCTCACCAGGCCGGCCAGGAGCGGTGGGTTCTGTCTTTCCGTCGGGCTCACAGCACCTTGCGGGAGTTCGCGGCAGTGTGGATGTCGCTCCGGAGGATTCGAGTCGCTCGTGGATCGACGATCCGGCTCCATTCGGACTGCTCCCCGGTGGTTCATTGTTTGAACCGAGGGGGTTCGATGCGATCCTTGGCTCTTTGGGGCTGGTCGCTTCGGGTGAGGGGAACTCAGGTCTGCTGAGTTCTCGGGGTTTGGCTCTCCTGGCGGTTCATGTCCGGGGGGTGTCCAACGTCCTGGCGGACACCAGGACGTTGTTCGTTTGCAGCCGTCTCCCTCTTTTCTGGCGAAGAATGAGACGGCTGCGTTCCGGAGGGGGCCGTGGGTTGTTGATGCTTGGTTGGTCAGGCCAGGGGTGCATCATTTGTTGTGTCTGGTTGCGGCTCCGACGTTATTTGCGCGCCACATCTTCTGTTGCCGGGGATGCGCTCAGGGTTGATCCAGTTTCCCTTCTTCCCTGTTCCCGGGCTCGGGTCTCTCAGGCTGTCCGCATGGTTATTAAGTGTAGCCAGCCTGCGGTTTTCCCCGGGCCCACGACGTTTGTAAATTTGCTGCTTTGGCGACTGTCTTTGGCAACATGTCTTGGGTCGACATTTGGGCCCGGGGTTTTTGGAGATCGAACAGGGTCCTGGCCGCTCGCTACCTGGTGAATGTTCCTGGGCCTCGTCGGGCCTGCGTTGCTTTGGGTTGGCGGTTGCAGCCAGTTGTCTCGCCTTCGCGTTGAGGAATGAGGACGGCCCGCCGCCCGGATAAGTCCCTGTTTTTTCCTTATATTTGGGTAGTTAGCTCCGGGGAGCCGACGGGGCTCCCCCCAGAAAACCAGCGTTGAATGTAATGAAACGCCATTTTCTGGGTGAGTCCCGGAGGCTCCCCGGCATCCCTCCCTCCCTCCAGTTGGCGGTGTTTTTCGCGTTTTTGACATCCAGCCTAAGAACTAATGGTTGGGTCGCCGACGGTGGGATCTGGGGCTCCCCCCTTCCCCCTCCCGGGGAGGGGGGGGTTGTGCAGACGGCGGCACGGCGACATGATGACGTCATGAGGGCTAATTTTTGTTTTAGGGAGTTCTGTCCACCTGTTCGGTCTTCGGTCGCAATAGTTTACCAGAATAGGGTTTTGTTTTGGGGCGCCTACCTTTCTGGGTGCCTGTCCCGGTCGATGGCAGACATAAAATGCTCCCAATCATAAGGGTGGTCTCTATAGGCCATTGTTCCTCGTGCCTCTCTAGAGGGGGCCAGGTTCTGGATCGTGGTCCCCAGTAGGCAAGAACTCCATGCATTGACTCATGCCAGAAAGTTATAAATATCCATTCAGCCTGGATAGCTCCGGGGAGCCTCCGGGACTCACCCAGAAAATGGCGTTTCATTACATTCAATGCTAGTTTTTTTATTTATTGAATTATTGTATATCTATAGTTCTTTTTTGCAAATAAGATATGATGTTTTTGCTTGTAAGGTTGGATGATACTAACTTGATATATTTCACAGAATATTATTTGGCTATATTTCACATTATTATGAATATTATTATTATTATATTATTATTTTGCTATATTTCACAGAATTGACACAACCAGAGTCAACTACACCGTCCCCCTCAGAGAGAGTTTTGCCATTCCTCTTCTTTTTCTTCAAATATTTCTTATGTGCACCTTTATCAGATCAGGGAGATGGCAGGTCAGTGGCTGAAGAGGTGTTCTTATTAGTTCTTTAAAAGAAAGTAAAATTTTATTTAACACACACACAATCTCCTCAGAACCTTTTTGTGACTGCGGGTGGAGCCCCTTGTGGTCCCTGAAGCTATATGCTGAGATGGTTACCATCTACTGGGTGCTCAGCTGTAAAGTTCTAGAGGTCTACAGGGGACCAGAGCCAGAGCCCGGCACTCGTCAGAGGCACAAGAAGCGAAGAATTTTTGTTGCCACCTCGTCGTGTAAGGCAACCAGAAAGTCAGTGACTCAAAACAAATGATAAACAACTGCTGAATTCAAAAAAGGAGACTGAAGCATTAAATCCGGCCAAAAGACCCCCCCCCCCAACTATATAAACTATGAAATTCTCTCAGAACTAGTGCTAGCTTGTTTGCTCCACCTCCCTGACTCTTTTGAGGTGAAGGGAGTAGGTAGCTTATTTCCTGTTGGGTCCTGAGCTCTTAGTTATAGTGCTGATGTATAGGTTACCGAGCTGCTGCTCTTTCGAATTGCCCCAGGTGTTCTGTTATTCAGTTAAGTGGTGAGGTGTTTGCCTTTGGTGGCTTTTCCTTACACTGCATTGTTGCATGAGACAGGTCTTAAGTGTGTTTGGAGCTGCAAGTGCTCAGGTTTTCCTTCCCTGTGTGCTCTGTGGTGCTGCCCTTGCAGTGATAGTTCCCTTCTCTGGTGTACTCGGGGGTTTGCTCCTTTAGACGTTCTTTCTGAACTTCCTGAATTGGTTCGGACCTGTCAGACAGCGACCACTTTACATGTTCATTTTGCTAGATCACAGCGGTCTAGGTTGTGTGCCCAATTGGATGTCCCAGATCTACCCAATTTGGTGTTTAGGGACCCAGAATTGGAACTGTAGGTGAACTCCACCTTTGTTTCATCCGTACCACCTCTTCAATACCCTTTGGGCATGGTTCGGTTTTCCTGTGGAAAGCTGAACCACGCCCAAAGAACCCTGAAACTTTCCTCTGGAAGGTTTCAGGGTCAGGCTAGGGTGTACCACGGTATGTGGCTCAGTCAGCTCCGTGGGTTGCCCATTCCAAATCAGGCATAGGGTAGTTGAGCCAGCAGGCCCTTCTGAGCTTCTGGGGTCTTCCTTTAAAGCCTTTCCGTTGTTCCCAATGTTTTTTGGGGGGAGTCCCTATGGCTCCCTGGAGCTATCCAGGCTGATATGGATATCCCTAACTTTGGCATCAATTGATGTGGGTGGAGTTCTAGGCCTAACGGGGACCACGAGGGGGGCCATTGCTCCCTGGGCCCCCTCAGAGAGGCACAGGGAGCAATGACCCATAGATGCACATGTGATTTTGGAGCATTCCATATCTGCCATCGACCAGGACAGGCACCCAGAAAGGTAAGCGCCATGCCCCTATTCTGGTCAATAACAATAAAAATAGACAAACAAGTGGACAGAACTCCCCAATTGAAAACGAGCAAACAAGCATGACGTCACACCAGCCGCACCGCATGTCTGCGCAGCTCTCTCCTCCCCGGGAGGGGAAAGGGGGAGCCCCAGACCCCCACACCGGTGATCCTCACCGTCAGTTCCTCGGCTGATGGGATATGGCTTGGTCGTTGTGGCTCCAGCTCCAGATTCTTATTTGTGCTGAGCCTGGGTTCAGTACTTCTCTTAGGAGGGTGTGCGAGCTGGGAGTAATATTCACAGGTACTCGGGCTGCATGTGCTTAGGGTCACCTTTCCTGAGTGCCCTGTAAGTACCGCCCTAGAGGCTTGGGGTTACCTTCTACAAGTCACTTTGGGTCTACCTCTGTTGGTCTTTTGCTGCTTGGCGATTGACCACCCTGAGTGTTTTGGGTGGGGGGGGTTTCCTCCCTGGTTTGCCTTGGTAGTTTTTGGTAGTTTTGGTAGTAGTGGTAGTTTTTGCACTGGTACTGCATAGCTAGTTTTCACCTATGACGGCGGCCGGCTCTGTTCCCTCTGGGTACGCTGTCCTCTTGTGAGGTTTTTCTTTTATTTTTATTTTTGCCTGGTGGGGGATCTGCCTTGGTGTTCCTTTCCCTTATACTAGGGTTCTTTGTGTTTGGTGGTAACCCCCTGCTTTGTCCTCATGAATGGACACATCTTGGGGGTTCAGCATTAGCAGTGTTGATTGGTAGCTTCGGCGCCAGGAAGTTCTTCGTTTCTTCCAATATTGTTGGAACATCTGTTGTCTGCCGGTGAAGCTTACCTCTAGTCCTTTCTCGGGCTCGTTGGTCCTCTTTCGTCCTACTTATCACTTTTCGATATTATCTCATTCTTTTCTCATTACATCTTATTACATCTGTCTCGACATTACTAATGTTCGTTTAGTACACCTTGTAGAAACCCTCCCCGAGGGTTGGGTGTTGCGGCTCGATTCTTAGGCGCATGCGCCGCGGGTGTTTGTTTAGGTTCTGTACTCACCTAGTTGTGTCTGCAGGATCGAGCATTGACTCTTGGATCCCGCCTTTCGAGCATCGGTTGTTTACAGCAATGACTCCTGTCCCATTTCCCTATCATACCTGGTTTTAAAATTATGAATAGTGTTTGCTTCCACAACCTGTTCCTGAAGTGCATTCCATTTTCTCACTACTCTCAGGCTAAAAGAAAACTTCCTAACATCTCTGTGACTCATCTGAGTTTCAAGCTTCCATCCATGTCCCCTCGTTCTGTTACTATTCCGTGTGAACATTTCGTCTATGTCCACCCTGTCAATCCCTCTGAGTATCTTATACGTTCCTATCATGTCACCCCTCTCCCTTCTTCTTTCTAGTGTCGTAAGGCACAGTTCCCTCAGGCGCTCCTCATACCCCATCCCTCGTAGCTCTGGGACGAGTCTCGTTGCAAACCTCTGAACCTTTTCCAGTTTCATTATATGCTTCTTCAGATGGGGACTCCATGATGAGGCGGCATACTCCAAGACTGGCCTTACGTAGGCAGTGTAAAGCGCCCTAAATGCCTCCTTACTTAGGTTTCTGAATGATCTAACTTTTGCCAGTGTAGAGTACGCTGCTGTCGTTATCCTATTTATATGTGCCTCAGGAGATAGATTAGGTGTTACGTCCACCCCCAGGTCTCTTTCACGCATCGTTACAGGTAGGCTGTTCCCCTTCATTGTGTACTGTCCCTTTGGTCTCCTATCTCCTAGTCCCATTTCCATAACTTTACATTTGCTCGTGTTGAATTCCAGTAGCCATTTCTCTGACCATCTCTGCAACCTGTTCAGGTCCTCTTGGAGGATCCTGCAATCCTCATCTGTCACAACTCTTCTCATCAACTTTGCGTCATCCGCAAACATCGACATGTAGGACTCTACGCCTGTAAACATGTCGTTAACATATACAAGAAATAGAATTGGTCCCAGCACCGATCCTTGTGGTACTCCACTTGTTACTGTTCGCCAGTCCGACTTCTCGCCCCTTACCGTAACACTTTGGCTCCTTCCTGTTAGGTAGTTCCTTATCCATGCTAGGACCTTTCCCCCCACCCCCGCCTGCCTCTCGAGCTTGAACAGCAGTCTCATGTGCGGTACTGTATCAAAGGCTTTTTGGCAGTCCAGAAATATGCAGTCTGCCCAACCATCTCTGTCCTGTCTTATCCTCGTTATTTTATCATAGAATTCCAGAAGGTTTGTTAGGCACGATTTCCCTGTCCAGAACCCTCGTCCAGGGGCCTCGTAGCCTGGTGGATAGCGCGCAGGACTCGTAATTCTGTGGCGCGGGCTCAATTCCCGCACGAGGCAGAAACAAATGGGCAAAGTTTCTTTCACCCTGAATGCCCCTGTTACCTAGCAGTAAATAGGTACCTGGGTGTTAGTCAGCTGTCACGGGCTGCTTCCTGGGGGTGGAGGCCTGGTCGAGGACCGGGCCGCGGGGACACTAAAGCACCGAAATCATCTCAAGATAACCCATGTTGATGTTTGTTCACAAACCTAATGTTCTCCAGGTGTGCAACCAGTCGTAGCCTAATTATTCTTTCCAGTATTTTACAGGGGATGCTTGTCAGTGATACAGGTCTATAGTTAAGTGCCTCCTCCCTGTCACCTTTCTTGAAGATCGGCACGACATTTGCCTTCTTCCAGCAACTGGGCAATTCTCCTGACATAAGTGACTCATTAAAGATCATTGCCAGAGGCACGCTGAGGGCCTGTGCTGCTTCTTTTAGTATCCACGGTGATACTTTGTCTGGTCCAACTGCTTTAGTTGCATCTAGAGTTGTCAACTGTTTCATTACCTCCTCTGCTGTCACCTCTATATCTGATAGTCTTTCATCTAGGGTAACCCCTTCCAACAATAGGAGCTGCTCAGGCTCGGTAGTGAACACTCCATGGAAACTGGCATTCAGTGCCTCGCAGATTTCCTTGTCACTTTCAGTATATGCCCCCTCTGTCTTCCCTAGTCTTGTCACTTGGTCGTTCATCGACATTTTTCTTCTTATATGACTGTGTAGTAACTTAGGTTGTTTTTTCGCTTTGATTGCAATATCGTTCTCATAGTCCCTTTCCGATGTTCGTCTTATGTTAATGTAATCGTTCCTAGCTCTGTTGTATCTGATCCTGTTGTCCTCTGTTCTTTGTCTTCTGTACTTCCTCCACTCCCGCCTGCTGGCCATTTTTGCTTCCTGACACTGTCTATTAAACCATGGGTTATTATATTCCTTCTTATTTTTTCCCTTTACCGTTCATATAAATCTCTCTTCGGCCTCCTGGCATTTCCGTATGACTAGGTCCATCATATCTTGGACTGTTTTTCCTCTAATTTCTTCCTCCCACTGCACTTCACCCAGATAGTCCCTTATCCTCATATAGTCCCCTTTCCTGTAGTCAGCTCTCCTTTCCCAGATCTCTTGTCCCATGGTCATAAGTTTGAATTCCATCATGTAGTCAAAGACTAGGACACAATGGTCACTGGCCCCTAGAGGTATTTCATGCTCTAAATTCTCAATATCTTCTACGTTCTGGGTGAAAATCAGGTCTAATAGGCTCAGTGCATCTCC